ACCCGCGAGGTCTGTCCCCCCGACTTCCAGCAGCACACCTCTGGCGGCGGCGGCGGCGGCGGCGGCGGCCCGTGCCGCTGCGATAAGAAGGACGTGGACTGCTGCGTGAGGAGGAAGAAGGTGTGCAAGGCCGGCTCGTGCGTGCCCGGCCAGTGCCAGTCCTTCTCGCTCGGCGGGTGCCAGGGCGGCGGCCACTAGTGACAGTAGCCCCCCCCCTCTCAATATGATCGACAGCCCGGGAGAGAGGCGCAAGGGGAGTGGGTGCGCGCGGCTGATCGGCATTCTTTGACAGAAATAAATAAATAAATAAAGGCAACTCTTTTTTTAGCTTCATTCATTCATTTATTTTTTTGCAGCTCACCAAGAGACACCAACAACAGAAGAGACTGGCAACATGGTGCGACTGACTCTCACGATGTGCAGCTTTGCCCTCAATAGCGAAGGAGTAAATGTATTTACATTTGGGGGGGGGGGATTAGGGAAACGATCCCAGCAAAGGGGGAGGACAGCCAAAGGGACCAAGCAACGCGGTTGGCAAGGGCACAGGCGACGTCCCTTACACGAGCTACTCGGTCGATCGCAGCAAGAACTCGCAAGTGAAAGACATTCGAGCACAAAATGCGGTACGCGATTTACATTCTTACTATTATTATTATTTATATTGATATTTATATTTATATATTTGTTCGTGGCAGGAGGACATCATCACGGTGGTGGAGGTCAACTCGGGGCCACGATCCAACGTCGAGCCCGAGCTCCAGGCCCTCGACCGAATAGCTACGGTACAACTCACCGCACGCACGCACGCACGCACGCACGCATGCACGCATCTCATGGTCACTCGCCACGACAGTTCGAGCCGCTGTTGAAGCAGTCCGGCTGGATGTTCACCACCAACACAAAACCCCAGCGTACGCTACCCACCACACTCACACCGCACTTCGCATGCAAATCCTAACAACCAACCAACCAACCACGTGGCGTGGGGGGCTTCCATATGGGCAGCCGAGATGAACCCGCAGGCGCTGCTCAAGCTGTGCGGCGAGTACCAGAGCTTCTGCCGCAAGATCTCCACGGTGGTCTCCCAACAGCAGGTACCGTCGCCCACCATCAACCCATGCGCTCCTCCTACGCCAGTGAATTCACTCACCCCCTGCGTGCGTGCGTGTGTGCGTGCGTGCGTGTGTGTGTGCGTGTGGTATCGTCGCACCCGTGTGTGTGTGTGTGTGTGTGTATCGTCGCACCCGTGTGCGTATCGTGTGTCCAGACGGTCCTGTGCACGCGCATGCGGGCCAAGGAGGGACAGTCCCTGGAGGCCAGCCGCACGTTGCAGAGGCACCTCGGCGACGTGCGACAGTTCGAAATGGCGTTCCGAGATGGTGCGTTCCAGCTTTGGCCTGGGCATTTTTAATCACGCCATTTCTGGAATTCCTCCGCGCGTGCTTGGCCGGCCGGCTGACGGTGGTGATGGTGGTGTGGGCGCGCTTGGCAGTGGAGAAGATACGGCTGCAGATCAACACGACGAAGCAGCTGCTCAACCAGGTCATCGCCATGGCCGAGGAGGTCTGCGGCCAGCTGCCCCAGAGCTACCAACTGTCGCCCATCCGATCCTTCATTGTCGTACGCCTCCCCCCCTCCCCACACGTTGCCTTCTTCGTTCTTCTTCGTTCTTCGATGCTTGGTATGCTTACGTTTGCTTGGCGCGCGCACGGGACCAGGATCGATCACAAGCGCCGCTGCACGCGCACACGGCCGACGGCGAACACGAAGAAGAAGGCGAGCGGCGACACGCGCAGCAGTCGGAAGGCGACGAGACCGAACAAAGCCAGCAAGGCCGCGACCACCACCGGGAGGAGGACAAGAAAGAGGAGGAGGAGGGGGGCGCCATCGGTGACAAGGACGGGACGAGCGCGGCCGTGGCCGCGGCCAGTACGAGCAGCGCCCCCTCGGAACCCGCAGCTGGGGCAGAGGCCACGCCCGGCGCCGAGCCAGAGCCGGAGCCGGAGCCAGAGGCAGCACAGCCAGCTCTCGAACCCACTGCAGGCGAGCTTACGTCGTCATCATGATGATGATGATGATGTTTATTGCTCAGTTATTGTGCAACCACAGAAGTGTGCGCTCTTGAAGAAGCGGAAGCCCGAACTGCCTCTACTGTTGTTGTTGTTCGGCTGTGGGCTTCGACGGCGGCAGTTCTGGGAAGTTGGCCGAAGGGGTTTCTTTTTGTTTTATTGTTTTGTGCTGTGGGCACCGGTGCGCAGACGTATTTGAGTTTTTTGGTCGTGCCTGCACGCGACGTTGTTGGAGTGCTGCCCCATGCCGTGGTTCCTTCCCCTCTTGTGGAAGGCTGCCGTCGCCTTCCCGGTTGCCATGTACACACACACTCCCCACAATCCGGAATTCTCACCTTTTCTCACTGATTTGATTTGATTTGAAATCGATTTTGCTCCATTTGGGCCACAGCAAGACCATAGATGTGGCTCTGAAGGGCGGCCAATTCTATGCCAACTGGGCCAAGAGCCGCCAGGTCCGCCCCCTTATATTCAGTTATTTTATTTTATTAATTTATTCACGTAATCGCGGCAAAGATTATTATTGTTATTATTTATTTATTATTACTATCGCGTTTGGTGTGCAGGTGCTGCAAACGGATTGGGTGACACTCAACATTGGTGGTGCTCTCTTCAAGACAACCAAGAAGGTTCGTCTCCATTTCGTTCTACTTCTCCTCCTTCTTCTTCTTCTACACTGCTCTCTCATCTTGTTGGGGGGTTTTGGGAGTAGACGCTGCTGGCCGATTCGTCGTCGCTGTTTTACGACATCCTGGGCGAGAAGAACCCGGCCAAGGAGGACGTGCTCAAGGCCATGAAGGGCAAGCCCGGCATCACCTCCACCTTCATCTTCACACGGTGACCACTCCATTGCTCCACCACTCTGCCTTCCTCTACTTTCTTCTTACCACGTTGACCGCACACGCACACGCACACGCACACACACCACCGCACACACACCACCGCACACACACCACCGCACACGCACCACCGCACACGATGATGATGATGCAGAACGAAGCTCAAGAATGGCAAAGAGAGGAAGACGCTGCGCCTAATCGATCATCAGGTGGAGAGGGCGGAGATGGAGAAGCAGAAGAACATCCTCACGCTCAAGTCCCTCTCGTGGAAGGTCGAAAAGAAGGACGGCCTCATCACCGTCAACCTCGATCGGTGACTCACCCCCTCCCCTCTCCCACCACTCTCACCACTCGCACGTGAGACTCACGTGTCTTCTTCTTCTTCACCTTCTTCAACACTTCTTCTTCATCGGCATCGTCGTCATCAGGGACCCGCACTACTTCAAGCCGGTGCTCAACTTCCTGCGGTACGGCAACCTGTTCGCCGACGCGGGGATCGACCTCAAGGGCATCCTCGAAGAAGGTACCCTCACCGACGCCTTGATTCTTTTATTCTTATTATTCGTATTATTATGTATTTATATTGTATTTGTATTGATAATGTTTACCACATTCACCACCGGCTTCTCTCTTCTCTTCTTCTTCTTCTTCTTCATCTTCGACGCATCAGCCAAGTTCTTCCAGGTCGATACGCTTGTCAAGATGCTCCACAAACGTACGTCTCTTGCTTCTCTGTCACACTACACTTGGCCGCGTAGTCAACTGTGTTCATATAAGCCTTTTTATGTATTTGTTTCTAATATATCTAATATCTAATATATATTACTAATATAATATAAAAAATTTCATGTCTTGCTCTCTGGCTACGCGCAGGTGGCGTGTGGGATGAGGACAACAAGTACTTCAAGGAGGGCAAGGAGGTGACGGACGCCATGCCGGGCGTTCACGCTGAGGCCGACACCACCAAACCATGAATGGCGATGGCGTCCGATGTAGAGAAACAGAGAGAGAAGATAAAACAATGAGGAAGATGAACAAGAAGACGAGCACGACGCCTACAACTTGGTTCATGTTGTCCGAAATTTCGGCCAAGAAAAAACAATTTAAATTCAATTTGTAATTCAAAAATAAAAGAAAAGGGCGCCCGGTTCAGGATTGCGAAGAGGGATGGACAGGGCGCGTTCTGGTTCGACAACGACCACGTTTCGTTCGGCTAGTCCCGGGGGCACCGTAAGGGCAGGTTCACCTGGCGCCAGCCCCACAACCGTACTCAAGATTTGGGTGCAAGATGGCATTCCTTCCACCCCCGCGTACGCCCTTTGCCCCCTCCACCCACACATTCCTTCCATCTTTCCCTTCAACCCTTTATGGCCAGCAGCAATACACGAATTCTTCGTGTAGAGGCTGAAGATTGAGGATCCATCTTCTTCTACTTGTATGATTATTTCATTATTTATTTGTCTATTTATTTGCTGAATAATACTAATAACACTCTTCCATCTTTGTTCGCTTCGCTGGCTTTCGATCGATAGTGCCGGCTCGTGGGGTTCGCTGGCGACGCGAGCGCGGCTGCGATGGGCCGACGACCGACAGTGCCTGGAGGTGTGCGAGCGGGAGACCCTGCGCGTGTTGTGGGCCGTGCCGCCCGGCAACGTCACACGCGCCTCAGACAGCTCTCGATATTTCGCTCTCACCAGCACCACCGGTGCGCCTCTCGCTCGCCCACCACTCGTGTCATGTGCCGTGCGTGTGCGTGTGCGTGTGCGTGTGCGTGTGCGTGTGCGTGTGCGTGTGCGTGGTCGTGCGTGTGCGCTGAGTGGAGTGAATTGGCTAACGCCGTGTTTGGGTGCGCGCGCAGGTGTACGGTTAGGCATCGCCTTCCACACCAAAGAGGAAAGCGTGGATTTTCTCAACACCCTGTACGCCACACGTGTGCCATGCGTGCGGTTGTGCGTGTGTCATGAGCCTCACACACACACACACACAACACACACGGTCGTGTTGCGCGTCAGGATGGGCAAGGGCGAGCCGTGTACGATAGTGAAGGAGCACCGACCGCCATCGCAGCGAAAGCACCGCGAGCTGGAGCTCAAGGCGGGCGACCAGGTGGTGGTGGTGGCCCGGGACAAGGAGTGGTGGTGGGGCATCAAGGTGCGCGACCCCGCCCTGGGCGTCACCTCGGCCGTCTTCGGCTGGTTCCCCGCCGAACACGGCGCCCTCGACAGCCCTACCACCGCCGCCCGGCGTCGGCGTTCCACCTCCTCGTCTCTCCCGCCGAGCACCGAATCCGATGACGGTACACTCCACGTCGTAGCCGCCATCGTGATCGTTGTCGTGATCGACGACTCTCTCATTTTCGTGTGCGTGTCGTGTCGTGTGCGGTGGTGCGTGTGCGATGTGACAGTGTCGTTGGGCGACGAGAGCGGCAAGCTGTGCTGCGTGTGCTATGAGGGCGCGAAGGACGCGCTGTTCTTCCCGTGCCGCCACATCGCGTGCTGCATGGAGTGCGCGACGGCCCTCACCACCAAGTCCAGCTCGTCCCACTGTCCCATCTGCCGGGCCGCCATCCGACAAGTCGAACGGGTCTTCATCGCGTGACCCGTTTAGAACTCGTTCTTTTTCTTCTTCTTCGTCTTCTTCTGCTCCTATCATTCGTTTTCCTCTTCTGCCTCGCTGCCAAGCGATGTAGCTACATGTACAGCCCGCCCCAGCCTTCGCGAATTTAACATACACCGTTCCTGTCGCACGCGTGCGTGTGTGCGCATGTCGTGTGTCGTGTCGTGTTGGTGTGTTGTGTTTTACAAACTACATGAGTCCGCCGCGTGAATCGTCGTCGTCATCGCTGTAGGGGTTGTAGCCGCCGCCGCCGTAGCCTCCTCCCGCCTTGGTCGTGCCCCGCTTCTTCTTCGCAGCCGCCGCTCGGTGGTTGTAGTCGTCATCGTCATCCTCATCATCGTCGTAGTTGTTGTTGTTGCTGCTGCTGCTGCCGTAGCCGTTCCCATGGTACAGTTCGTCCTCCTCCTCGAGCTGCGGTTCTCGTCCACCGCCTCCGCGCGACGTGGCGGGCTGCCATCGCTGCGGCGGGGGCGGCTGCTGTGGCTTCGTAGCGTCGCTGTCGTAGTCGCCTCGGCCGTCGCTTCCGCTGCTGTTGCCGCCGCCCTTGCTCACTTGCGAACCGCGGCTGGCCAGGACAGATGGACCGCTGGGGAGGGGCGGCACCCCGGGCCTGGCAGGCGCCCGGCTGCCGTCCCCGTCGAACGGCGACGGGAACCGGACCGGCGGGATGTCGGGCAGCTGCAGCGGCGGCAGATTCGTTTCCCTGCGAGCGAGCAAACGACCGCCGCGCCATTCGTCAGTCTTAACTGCGGCACTGACCAACCATTCATCGCCTGCAACACCTACGCACCGAGAGATGATCATGGAGAGCAGCTTCTTGGGCTTGTCCGGCACCGGATTGGGTGACAGCCTTAATTGGCGCGCGGGACACAAGTCAGAAACCAAACCAAACGAAACGAAACTCAAACGAAAACGAAACAGAATGGAAACGTTTGGGGTGGGGGTACTCGTCGGGGGTGAAGGAGAGGAGGAGGTGGTTGAGGTGGACCGGGTGGAGGAAGGGCGCCGCGTGGCGCAGGCCGTCGTCCGAGTTGAGCTGCGTCTTGTCCAGCACCAGCACGCCCGCAGCCTCCAGCGTGGGCTCCAGCTCTTGCCTTTAACAAAAATAAGATATGTGAGCGTGTGTCGTGCGTCGTTGTGTCGTGTTATGCATGTCGCACGTACACAATGGGGCCGGCGTCGATGACATCAAAGTAGATGGCCGACACGGGAAGCGGCGTGCGGGGCGACCCGGGCGCGTGGACGTGGCCCTGCTGTGCCGATCCGCTGCCGTCGCGGGGCGACTGCGGCGGCGGGGTCACGCCGGCGGCCGACGAGGCGGCCGTCGGGGTGATCTCGAACGGCCACGCCGTCAGCTGCGCCAGGCCGAACCGGATCTGGTACCCGTTCGACGCCGTGCACAGCTCCTTGCGTGACATGATCGCGTTAAAGATCGCCACGTTGATCGACCTGTTACTCACCCAATCACCGCACGCACTCAGCCGCATGCACTCAACCGCACACGCACACGCACGACCGCACACACGCACACGACAGGTGGTACCTGTAGATGGAGAGGAGGAATTGCTTCATGACGCTGGGGAAGATGTAGTTGCGGGCAAAGTCGTCCATGTAACTGGAGAGGAGGCGGGTGATGTCCTTGGGCGTGAACTTGACGGCCAGGAGGGCCGGCGACGACATGTCGACGTTGGCGGCAAAGTGGGCCTTGAGCACGTTGTGCTGGCCCAGGATCGAGGGGAGCAGGATGGGCACGATCTGCACCCGGAGCTGGAGGTGGAGGTTGAGGAAGGCGCGGAGGGCGACGACGTTCATCTGGCGCACGAAGTAGGTGAGCACGTCCTCGGGCCGCTTGGGCGGCTTGGCCGAGTTGACCTCGAACAGGATGCCCTTCTTCTCGTAGTTCTTCAGCTTGCTCAGCAGCTTCACGTCCAGGCCCGGCTGCAGCGTGATCTGCTTGTCCGACCCGATCTGACCTCCCCCCCAATCACCACCACAGTCCGTCAGCACGACACACGCACGACACGCACACGCACGACACGCACACGCACAATGACACGACACGACACGACCAACGACACGACGCGGCATACCTGATTGATGAGGGAGAGGCAGAAGGCCATCCAATAGCACTGCATGCTGGCGTTCTGGCTGCTCCTCTGGTGATGGTGGGGCAAACGAATGGGCGGGCGGCGGTCGGTTCAGTCGTGGAATGCAGCGATAGAATGCGGCGATGGAATGTGATGGAATGTAGGGTGGAAAAGTACCTCGACGGCGATGAAAAGGGCGTTGATGATGCGCTGGAGGAGCGGCTGGTTGAGGGCGTGGGCCATGAGGGCCTCCGTTTCGCGCAGGAACATGAACAGGTCCTTCGCCGCTACGGGAATGCCGGCCTGCATCGTGACTTGCGCTGCTGCTGCTGCTGTGTGTCGTGTGCGTCGTGTCGTGTCGTGTTTTGTGAGTGTCGTGCGTGTCGTGCGTAGCGAAGAGCGAGGAGCCTGCGGCGGTACCAGGGCCGGAGAGATTGAGGTCCATGCTCGAGGCCATAGGAAGCGACACCTCGTAGGTGAAGAACTTGGTCGGGTCCGCACAATAGATACACTTCTCCAGAATCTCGTTTTCCTGCGGTGTACGCGGTGTACGCGGTGTGAGCGCCGAGCCAAAAGAAAAGAATGAAGAAAAAGAAAAGGAGAGAAATTGAACGAGGCCGAGATGGAGGGGGGGGGCAAAGACCTCGATCTGCTGTCTGAGTTCGGCTGAGTCGGGGGAGCCGGGCGGGCGCGCGGTCACGTCGCTGATCGGCTCCTTTTCCTTGCCCTTGTCCTTCTTCTTTTTCTTCTTCTTCGACTTCTCGCTGCCGCCCTCACTCCTATCGCTCACATCTGCACCCCTCCCTCGTTGAGAACACACGCCACACGCCACACGACACACGACACACGACACACGACACACGACACACGACACACGACACACGACACACGACACACGACACACGACACACACCGGTACCGTCGTCGTCGGTTTCGGCGTCGCCGTTGCTGCGGAAGGCCTGACGGGGCGAGAGGGCCTTGCGTCGGATGGTGCTGATGACGCCTCCACCTCCGCCCACCTTCCAGGTGCCCGAGTCGCTGCCCTCGCCGTAGAGTGGCGGCAAGTCCTCGTTGGACTTCTTGCGTCGGCCCAGCAGGCCGCCGCCCGGGCTGCCCACGCCGGACGTGCCGTCGGACCCGTCGGCCACCTTCTTGTGGCCGCCCGCCTCCTGCTTCAACTGCTCCAGCTCCTCCTGGAGCTTTTTGATTTTCTGTAAAGCACATTAATTTAATTAGTAAATGAATTAATTGGCAGCAAATATAGAAATATATATAAGATAATTGTAAAGAAAAAATAGAAATTAATAGTGTTACCTTTTCCTGTTGTTCGTTGTGTTTGGTGAGCTTCTTGACCTCGTCCTCCTTGGTCTTGAGCATGCGGACGGAGGAATCTAATTCCTTCTCCTTCTGCTTGGCCTTCTCCCGCTCGAGCTCGAGCTCCTTCTTCACCTTCAGCTCGCCGCTCATCGTCTTCAGCTGCGCGCTCGTGAGCTTGATCGTGCCTACATGGGCGGGAGAGCACACACGACACGGCGCACGACACACGACACGACACACACGACACACACACTTGAGCAACTGCGCAACCACGCAACCAAATTGCGAGTCCCGTACCGGACTTGTCACCGGATCGAGTGACGGTGTCGACGATCTGCTGCATCTTCTCGAGCTCCTCCTCCTGTTGCTCGGCCTGCTTCATCACCCGCTTGAGCTCCTCCTCGCGCTCCTTGAGCCGCTTCTTGGTCTCCTCCAGCTCGTCGGCCCCGCCGCCGCCACCGCTGCCGTCGCCGTTCTCCTTGTCGCCCTTGGCGCTGCCCTTCTTCCCCTTACCGCCGCCGCCTTTCTCGAGCTCCTTGCGCAGGCTGGCGGCCTCGTCGTCCTTCTTCTCGATCCACCGCTTGAGGTCGGTCATCTCCTTCTTGATCTCCTTCCACCCGCGAACCGAGCCGCCGCCGCCGCCCGAGTTCTTTTTCTTGTCGCCCGCCGCCGTAGATGTATCGAGTCGGGCGCGGAGCTCGATCAGCTCGACCATGGCCTGGTCGCGCTCGGCCATCTCCTTCTTGAGGTCCCGCACCTCCTTCTGCAGCTGCTTGAGCTCCTTCTCGATCTCCTTGTTGAGCCCGTTCTGCATGCTGATGCCTAGCCCGCTGCCGCCGCTGCCGGCGAGGGGGATCGCGCTGGGCGCGGCCACCGGGTAGTCGAGCGAGTACGAGAGGCCGTCCATGCCGCCGCCGCCTTTCGACTTGTCATCGCCGTCGCTGTCGTCCTACATAGGAAAAGGAAACACTATCAGTGTTGGCGATTGATCATAGTGATATAGAAGGATTAAATATTGTTGATGTGATACATGTCACGCATTGCTGCATGGTGTGTGTGTGTGTGTGTGTGTGTCGTACCATGTCTGAGTCGGACTCCATATCCGAATCGTCGATGTCGGTCTCGCTCTGGTCGTCGTCATCCGCATCGGTCTGCAGGTCGTAGTCGTCGTCATCGCCGCGCTTGCTCCTGTGATCATGGTGTGAAGAGACGACGACACGAAGCGCACATGATTGGAGGAACAGCGTTAAAAAAAAATGTTGCACGAGCGAATTGCAATATCAACTGGGCCAACGCACCGGCTGACAATCTTCTTGTTGCCTATCTTCAGCCACTCGGCCTTGATATTGAACTAATGTATAGAAATATATAAGAGGGGACACGAGCTCGTCAGTGCACGTCCACCACCCACGCACATACACGCGTGAGGCTGAAGCGCCGTACTGTGATTGTTGGGCTGATGGGCGGGAGAGGACCAGACGACTTGGACTTGACCTTGGATGCCACGATGGGGAACGTGACCAACTCGTCCGTCCTGTGTGTGTGGTGTGTGTGTGTCGACGCTCGGGCGTCAGTTGCAACTGCACACGAGAGTAGGCCTACACCGCTAAAGCAATGGTGCGAGGAGTACGGTACTTGTCCGTGGCATACTGGGCCAGATCGACTTCGAAGGTGGTCACAGCGTTCGCCTTCTTCTTGTCCGTCGACTGTCAACAAAGAAGAAGAAGAATGGGTCTGACATCAGTCCTCCCGCCTGCGCCGTGTGCGTGTGCGTGCGTGTGCGGGTGGGCGTGTGTGCGTGCGTGCGTGTGTGGGTGGGTGGGCGGTGATGCGTGTGGAAGCGAGATCTGGGGATTGTGCACCTGCTTGAGCGTGAACTCGATCGTCTTCTGCTGGAACTTGTGCAGCGTGGGGTACTGGATCAGTGTGGCGTCGATGCTGACCGCTTGCGGCTTCTTCCACTCCGCGGCGCCGTGCTTCACTCGTGCTCCTTCCGACTCACCCTACATGGCATCATCCACACCCACCAGATGAGGCCCAGCCCAGCAGAAACAAGTAGCTTGGCGTGTAGCGGCTCGAGAAGAAGAGGGGGAAAAAGTGTGCTACTCGAGATGATGGAATGTCGAGAATGAGAAAGGCTGGGAATGAGGAAGGGAGGAGGGGTGCACCTTGTTGGTCTTCTTGGAGCCTCGCTTCCAGGCAACGCTGACATCCGAGTCGTTGAGTGCGGGGGAGAGATTGAGCAGCGATTTGAGCTGAAGTGTGAATTTGATCTTCACGTTACGCTTGGCCTTCTTGTCGGCCTTGCCGATCTTCTCCTTCGTTTTCGACGACCTCTTCATCGTCTCCCTCTTGAAGGATGATTAAAATGAATAATAATAATTAAAATGGACTATAATCGCTCGCCACGGAACGACACGCACGAAGTCGGTGGTTGGCTGCGTGTGGACCGCGAATGCGAACCGGAAACGAGAGAGCCAGGCTGTGGGAGTGATGAGGGCCAGTGAAGTAGACAGCGCGAGGGTGACCCCTTTGCTGATTCTCGTTCTGTTGCTGATGCGCAGGAGTGCGGAACAGAAGTCAGGAATGGGAAAACAATAACAAAATAATATATATATATATTGTATTTCGACTTCTGTGCCAAAAACGCCGTAGCCCGAGCAACCCGGCATTCCTGGCCGGAAAGTTATGTTTGTGAAGAATGCGGTGAATGAGAGCGTGAATAGTTTAAATAATTGTATTGCCATTAATTTGTAATACCGGTATTAATGAAATGAAAATAATTAATAGGACACCCAGCACTTGCGTTCGCGCCCAGTTCGATCGGATCGCCAGGCGAGCGGGGCTGTGCACAGGCTGTACGATAATGGAGGAGGGCGCGCACGGCTCGGCGGGGAGCGGCGTGCGATTCATCAATGAAACGAATCCAGGGAAGGGCAAGAAGAGGGTGAAAGAGCTCGAGGCCCAATTAAATGGAATGGAGAAGGAAATGGAGAAGCTCCTGCTTCGATGGCAATGCGAGATGGGCGGCCATCTCTCGAGAGGAAGCAGTATAACGCCACCGCAAATCGTTGTAGAGAGAAATGTGGATAATGATAACGATGACGTTGAAGATGACGTAGAGAAGGAGCTCCAACAAATCGATCGAGAGATGGAGGCGCTCCTGCAAAGGCGGCGCGAGGCCGAGAGTCGTTCACGTACACCAACATCGACTCGGGCTGCTGCAAGTAGTGACGATCAGCAGCAGCAACAGGAGAAGGGGGCGTCGTCGCCGTCGCTACTAGCGCGGAGGAGCTCGAGCGGCGTGCAGCCCACGCGACGCAAGCGCAACCCGAGCATCGCGCTTGGCAGCGAGCGCATCGTGATGGCGGCCAACGGCGACGCGCTCTCCACGCCCGCCGTCACGGCCAGCCACACGCCGTCGTCGGCCGAGGAAGGCGAGGCGGACGACGGAGCTCCTCCTACGCGCCGCAGCCGCAGCACCACAGCCTCGCCGATGCGCATAGAACTTGTACGTGTCGCGTGTGTGCGTGTGCGGTGGTGCGTGTGCGGTGGTGCGTGTGTGCTGAACGACGGATGGTGGCGACAGACGAAGAAGGTGGCAGACACGCCGGACACGCCGACAGCGCCGACGTACCGGCGGTCGCGCAGCTTCGTGCTGCCGGCGTCGGTCAAGGGCGCGGACATCATCCAGGCCCTGAAGGAGCTGGCCGACGCCGAGAGCCTGGCCACGACCGAGGGGAGCGGCCGGCACCGCACCTCGACCTCGTCGGGCTCCAGCGGCGACGACACCTCCTCGCCGCGCTCCTCCTCACCGCGCTCGCTGTCGCCCCGCCTCGGCTTTCTCGCCACCGTCTCCCCGCGCGGCCTGTCTTCTTCACCACCCACGATTTCCTCCTCCTCTCCGCCGACGTCATCGTCACCATCATCATCATCGTCATCTTCATCATCTTCATCTTCTTCTTCATCTTCATCGCGACGACACCACTTTCTCACGTTCACGCGCAAGAAGGGAAGGGAGAGCTCACGCGAGGAGCGGGCCGAGGAGCAGGACGTCGTCATCGCAGCAGCCATGGGAGAGAAGTCGGCGGGCCAGAGGGAAGACGGGCTCGGCCTCGGCGTCGACAACAAGTCGGCCTCGAGCGGCAAGCGGGTGGCGCGGACCAAGTCGCTGCGCATGCACTTCACCCCGTGGAGCAAAGAGGAGATGGACAAGGCCCGCGACGAGCGCAAGAAAAGCGGCGGCAAGGCCCGGAGCAGCCTCGGCGCGACTCCGACGGTCACGGAGCTCGGCGGCGAAGGCCAGCGTGTGTCAAAGGACACCGTGCGGCGGAGCGTCGACGCCGGGGTGCCCGCGCGCCGGCGCCAGTCGGTGGCCGACAGGCAGGAGGAAGCCTACGGCGAGTACCATCAAGCCGAGGAGGCGCGATGGGACGGATACGCCAAGGAGGCGAGCCTCATCGACCAGGTACCGCGCGGCTCTGCGGTGGGTGGTGGGTGGTGGTGGTGAGTACACCCATTGAACGTTTTTCTTGGTGTGGGCGGCAGATGGACGAGGACTCGGGCTTCTACCACTTCAATGTATACTTCTCGGCCTCCAACCGGGCGCAGGCGCGACAGTTCCACGCCGGCCTGGACCGATTTCTCCAACAATTCGACGCTGCGGTTCGTTTCGTTCTCTTCTCTTCTGGCATCTCTCTTCTCTTCCTTTCTCTGTTGTTCACGATCTCCGTGTGCGCAGGCTCAGGCGACGGACTACAGTGCGGGCCTGCTGGGTCCGATCTGGGTGACGGCGCCCAAAGTGTTGATCCGACCCAACGGCGAGGTGGAAAAGGATCTGGGCTAGATAGGCCTCGGCCCATCCGTCACACCTCATGCGCGCGCCCACCACCATCAGACCTCTGTATCATCACCCAACCTCAACTCTAGAACGTTCGCACGGCTACCACGAACGGGTACAAAAACTACCCGCGCTTATTTCTTCTGCGCGACAAGAGGTGTGGGGAAACTACGCCGGTGTAACGACGTAATGTTACGCCACCGCTGAGACTTGATCAGCGACGTTGAGCAAGCTCTGCGCCACCTCGTCAATGCGGGGCCGGTCGGTCCACACTGGGGCGAGGCTTTGGATGACCAGATCGCGAGCCAGGTTCGCCTCGGCCAGTGGAACGACGTCTGCTGGGCCAGACCCTTTGATTTTGGCCCACAAGGGGAACCATTTGTCACTTCACTGGCCTGCCACGACTCACCACGCCGAAGAGCGACGCGGCGGCGGAGTACCTTCGCTAGAGATGATAGTACGGAGCTTGTCGAGGAGTTCGCCCTCACTCAGGTTGTCGTCGTCAGTGAAGTCTTGCCTCGCCGAGCATCCACCTCCCATAGGCTGGTCGGAGGAGGTGGTGGGGTTGGATCCAGTCCCACGTTACGCCGTGATTTATTCTGTCGACTTACTACCGCTAGAAAAAGCCACCCACCATTCGTGACTACGTGCAGCGCATTCGAGGTGCTAGTGTCGGTGGCAAAAAGGGATTGTACACAGAGTGTTTTCCCAACAACAATAACAGGCGAGCGTCCCTTAAACGACGACGGGATAGGAGGCCCAATCGGCGATGCCACACATGTTTTTGCCGCGTACCAACTTGAAGTAGCCAGCTTCGCCCCAACTTGTGCCCCACGAGTTCTTGAGGAGCCAGTAGTCCTTGCCACCCTCGTTACCGTAGCCGACGAGCAGCACGGCGTGGGTGGGAGTATTTCCGCAGCCGGGGACGTCTAGAACTCCGCTTCGGTAGTAGGCGTGCGCTTGGGTCCCAGCGTTGTAGGCGATGGCGATGGTCCCGACCGTGGAGAGCGCCTGCATGAGATCATTCTCGTCACCTCGCCGTATCATCTTGTGCGACTCAACCTGCGCAACCTTCCTTTTGCTCTGAGCCTGACAGGTACCGACTCTCCCCGTGTAGGGATACTCGCTCTGGAACGTAGTGCCCCCACTTCGTTGGAGGTAGGCGAACATGTCATGCATCCAACCGCCGCTGCAGCCCCGGCCGCCACAGTCAACAAGATGCTGCTCGGACATGTCGGCGAGATAACCATCGTGCTTGAGACAGTAGGCAGTTTCAAGGGCGCCGATGGCGGCGAACGCATAATTCGACTCGCACGAACCTGGAAATGCACATGTAAGGTTGGCAGCGAAAAAATTGGGCTTTCTTTGGGGAGCTTACCCTGGTTCTTGACTCTCTGTACACAGTTCTGGTTCCTCCAGTCGACGTTCCGACGGGCGAGGCCGGAGGAGGTGGCATTGTGGACGTCGTAGTTGGAAGCGTTGAACGGCGGCATCGTGACGGTGTAGAGCGCCTTGTAGTCGTCGAAGGTGAGGTCGCCAAACTGATTCATGCCCAGGCTGTAGGTGCGGTTCTGGCGGTTGTGCTCCTCGATGAAGCGGTAGTTCTCGCGCCACACGTTCCACCGGTGGGCCAACTCTGGGTTGACGTAGGACTTGTTGTGGGTCGTCATCCAGTCGAGGAACTTGCGCCGGATAGGCTCATGGTCGTCATCTTTGTCTGCAGCGGCTGAGGCGACGAGGAAGACGGCCACGGAGAGGGCAAGAAGGAGAGCGGTGGTGGGGTGCAGCATCACGACAACACAGAACAACAGAAAGGAGTTTTCAATTTTTTTGCTTTTGCTGATTTGGACAACCAATGGGCTAATTGATACTGTGGCACTCGAGGCTCAAAGTTTCCCTCGCGATGCAGGAGACGACGGACAAAATTGGCGCTTACCAGGGGTAACGTAGATTACCCCCTAGTGGGAGAACACCTTCTGTTCTGTTTAATCTTTATTTATTATTTCTTTCAAGTCCGTTACAACGGAACCAGGAAAAGAAATAAAAGAGATTAAACACAATCCCCGTATTCATCCTTTTTTCTCCATGTTGCTCATGTATCATGCAGACTAGCTGTACCACTTCATCAATGAACAGCCTGGATCAAACCCAGGTGTCAGCCTTGGGAGGGGATGAGATGCTCACCCTCCTATGCAACCTGACAACAATGCTTTCATGCATGGCCCCTGAACTGGGCCAAGAGCAACTGAACCCATCTTGCAGGGGAGTGGGACTCACCTACCTACTCCATACAGAGGAAGAAGGCAAGGAAGAAGAGGAGGAGGTCAACAATGACAACCCCAACACTCCCCCTTGTCAAGCAACTCAGTTCAATGCCACCCTCATGAGTCAACTCAACCCAAGGAATGACAATGTCAAAGACAACTTCAACAATGTTGAGCAATCCTGTTCCAGGATCAAGCTGGGAGCCCCATGCAGCTTCCCCAAGAGTGATGACAGTGGCTTTAACAAAGACGGTGTGCCCACATCAACAACATGGGCGGGTGGTGCCAGAGGGCCAACCTTGTCATGTGGAAAATTGTTGTGGTATGCCATGACAACAACCTCCAACTTGCTGTGATCCATCTCCCTGGCAAGGAGAATGAGAATGCTGACTGGCTCAGTTGTCTCCACCCACACCATGAGTGGAAGATGAACTGCTCTATGTTCCTGGCCATTGATGAGAAGTGGGGTCCCCACACCATTGACCAGATGGCCACTGGCCACAACACCCAGCTCCCACACTACCACTCCCACTTCTTCAAACTGGGGAGCGCCACCACCAACTGCCTCATGCAGGACTGGGTGCAGGAGAACAGTTGGGTGGCCCTGCCAATCACCCTCATCCCTTGAGTGCTCCAGCTAGTTCAAGCACAGGGCGCCACCGCCACCATCATCACCCCAATGTGGAGTGGGTGCCTCTGGCACCAGGACCTCAAGGACCTCATGATCAACACACTGATCCCACTGCATGCATTGGAGGAGATGTTCCTCAGCAAGCACAGGACACCAGAGCCACTACACAACCATTGATGGCACTGGGTGGCCTATTGGATCTGTGGCTTAACCACACCACCAGCTGGTCACCAGCAGCAGTAGCCATGATCAACAACATGCTCACAACCTCCATGTGGAAGAGGTATGTGGGCTACATATGCCACTTCCATGATTACTGCTGGAAGCATGGACACAACTTCCCACTGGCTGAATTGGAGGCAGTGGGCGTGATTGCAAGCTTCTTCAAGAGTGCCACTAGGGTGGGCCAACAACCAGGCACCACCCTCGCCTTGATGTTGGTGGCCATTGCCACACTCTACAAACTGACAGGCTCATCCCCCACCAGAGACCCTCTACTTGCACACCTGCATTGCACAATCATGCATGCATGCACCACTCAACCAATTGAAAATGGCCAGGTCTTTGATGTCAGGGCACTCCATGACCTGTTCCTCAAGTGGGGCGACCACCTCTCACTCCAGCAGCTCCACTCCAAGCTGCTGACCATGCTCTGCATCCTAGGCACACTGCATGTAGCCTCCACAGCGCTACCTGGCCTCAAGGACATGAACATCAAGACCATCAACAGGTTGAAATTCCTCAAGATACAAATCATTGGCCACAAGAACAACAATGGTGACAGTAAGACAGTCACCCTCCACCAGAGCAGCAATGACCTCTGCTGCCCAGTGTGAACATTTGAAGAGTGGAGATGGCACACAACTTCACTATGCTGCAGACACAGGAACTGCCCACTCATCTTCACCCTCTCACACCCAGTTGAAGCCCTCACCCCACACAAGAGCACACGCCTGCTGAAGAAGACAGCTTCCATGGCAGGCCTGGATCCCAACATCTTCATGGCCAAGACATTCTGAAAGTTGGGTGTCATGGCTGGCCTGCACACTGGTGTTGAACCTGACATGATCTTCTGCCTAGGAGGATGGCGCAGCACTGAGACCTTCTGGTTGCACTATGTGGTGCACCAGGTCCCATGCTCCTACACTGACCTCCTTTTCAACACTGGCCAGGACTCCAGTGATGACAATGAAGCACCTCAGGAGTAACAGAACAGAAGTGTTCTCCTGCTAGGGGGTAATCTACGTTACCCCTGGTAAGTGGGATTATCCTGTAGGGAGAACACTTCTGTTACCACCCACCCTCACCACCCTCACGGCTAGCAATACTACGATGTGGAGAAAAAAGGATGAATACGGGGATTGTGTTTAATCTCTTTTATTTCTTTTCCTGGTTCCGTTGTAACGGACTTGAAAGAAATAATAAATAAAGATTAAACAGAACAGAAGTGTTCTCCCTACGGGATAATCCCGCCAATTTTTCCTGTCGACACCACGGTCACGTTCGAACCTGGCGTGCCAGCACCGCTCCGATGAGTCTGCGCAGGTCGTCGGGGCAATCGGACAGGATGGGCGGGCGCTTGCCGTCAATGACGGCGGTGATGACGCGCATGAAGTTTTCGTCGGCGTAGGGACGCTTGCGCGTGAGGAGCTCCCACAGGATGATGCCGAACGAGTAGACGTCGGCCTTGACGTCGTATTGCTGACCTTGGAGCACCTCGGGCGCGCTCCATGCCGGCGTGCCGCAGTTGGTGAGCGTGTCATTGTCCTGCTTGCTGCGTGCGAACCCGAAATCAGCCACCTTGACCGCGAGGCAATCGTCGACAAGCAGGTTGGACGACTTGAGGCCGCTGCGCCGAAGCAAGAGGAGAAGAAGGATTCCTTGCCAGTGTGGGCGGATGAATGCGAGAAGCGCCCTCTCGAGCAGGACTCAAGGTCCTCTGCGCCATTTACAACGGCGGGACCGTCGTTCTTGGCCTCATGCCGGAAAAAGCCATCAAGGCGCTGGCAGTCGATAACGCCGAGGTCCCCTGTCAGGCTCCTACACCTTTGACGTGACCAACGAGGGCACAGCCATCACGTGGAAGGCCGCCGATCCTGCCATGAAGACTTACGGCATGGCGCAGACCGCGTAAGGAGTGGCTCCACACACACCACGGAAATCGTTTGCGTCTACGAACGTTTTTACGTTCTAGACTTGTGAACGACAGCGAGCCTCTCCACCTGCCCACTTCCTTTGTGCACCGCTTGGTTGACAAGATCAACGCCGCGACACCCATCATCCACCACGTTGTGAGTACGGCGATGTGTTGTGGGTGGGGCAAGATGGATCCCGAGGTGGCTGCCACGCAGGTGCGGCAGGCCTACAATGTGTGGGCGCGCACCCGCGGCACGCCCGCAGCGGTGGCGTACGATCAGCTGCCGGGCCAGTATGACGTCTATTTCCACCAAGCCAACATGGAGGAACAACCCGACATCTACCAAAACTTGGACTTGAAAAAAAACAACAATAGAAGCCTTTTAGGGCAAGTTGGTCAGTGCCGGGCGCATGGCACGATCGGGTTCGAGGGGCTGACGTGATTCCATGAGGCACTCGCCGCCAAAGAGCTCGTCGAAACGAAGCAAAACGCGTTCGTGACTTGCGGGGAGGATTGCGATGACGGTGTCGGTGCGATCAGGGCCGAACGTACAACGGGCCGACGTGAGATCGTGGGCGGTGGCAAAGCTGGTAGCTCCCTCGGTCGTGCCGTCCGACACACGAAAGACGTGCACATCGCCGTGCTCGTACGTGGCACGCACCCACTCACAATCGGGCGAGATCGTCAGGTAGGTGGGCGATCCGCAGTCGAACTCGGCGATCCGATAGCCATCGGTGGTCCACAATCGCAGGATCGTGCCGCGTGCCGACACCGTTGCAAGGAGGAAAAACCCGACGTGGCCGAGGGCGATGCGGGCGATGGGTTCGTCGTGGGCTCGCCACGAGGTCTCGCCGCCTCCCGCTCGGACGTGCACGTGGCCCATGATCTAGCCGGGACACGCGAGCACCCTGTCGGTGTTGATGGCGATCGCACCGGTCGGATTGTGAAACGTGAGCGCCCGATACAGTGGCGTCGCGAGGACATTGAAATCGTAGAGGTAGACCTCGTCCACGAGCACCACGGCGATCCACTCGCGCGTGCACGCGATAGTCAGGATGTCGGATCTGAAGATCATCTCCGCGAGACACGAGCCCTGGAAATCGTCCAGGATCAGCATCCGGCGCCTATCGTTGGTGCGCACGATAATTGGTGCGCCCAGGGCAGGCGCGAGATGGACGCCACCGGGCACGGCACGACGGTAGCGCACCGTCGCCTTGGGTCCGGTCGAAAGAGAGCAAATAAGAGGCCGGATCGTTTTAAACACTTGCCACTTTTCCCACAATGGACAACAGCATCGCATTCAATGGCACCAGGGACATATTCGCGATCGGCACGTCGGATGGCATCGAGATCTGGAACGCGGTCGACCATGGACCACGGACAACTCTTCCGAAGGATGCTGGGTGCGGATCGCCACCTCAATGCCCAGCTTTTGATGGCCGGCGGCCAGGCGATCAACATGAACCTGGCCATGATGGCGGCCGCAGTGCCGGCCTTTCCTACGGACACGTGAAGGTTGATGATCTTGAGCCATGGGCCGTGCGAGCGATCGTCGCTGACATCTACACCTGCCATTTCAACGAGCGCACGCAGAAGATTGACACGTCCAATGCTCTGGAAAACAGTAGGATATCATGCAAGCGCTACCCAATCTCTACACAGTGGCGCTGCGTTTCCAGGTGCCAATGCCGCGCTGGGTCAATATAAGCTGGCTTGAGCGTGATTTGATCAGCATCGTTGTGGAGCCCAGATTGCGCACCCCAATCATGCAATTCAATGACTACAGTGATGAGATCCACCTCAAGCCACAGAAAGAACTCAGGCCCAACATGAGACGCTTTCACGTGCCCTGCAGGCACATGCAGAGAATCAACGAACTGTTTATTGCAGATTCCAAGGTCGACCTCATTGAGCGTGTTATTGAACATCCAGTGTGCGCATGGAAGCTCTACCTGGAGATCAATGATCGCGTGTGCAAGGCAGTTGGCGGCGAAGGGAGATGGGATTGCAATGTAAGGATCTGTGTGCTCAACGTGTTCATGGATTACATGCGCCAGGTGTGCAACAAGGCGCATAGTTGAATCCAAAAATGCAGTTTGATTTCAATCAACAATGCATGCCAACACAATGCCCTGCTCACCACCAATGGTGTAGGCGAGGTAATGGTGCCCAGTGGTCGTGTCAAAAAACGGCAACAGATCACACAGTTAGTTCACACAGTATGGCAGCCCATCGCCCTTGTCAGATGGCACATTCAGTTCGTCAGCACCCTCATCAGGCATGACTAGTCAGAGCACTTCAGCAGCCTGCATCACCAACAACTCCACCAGATCCAGGTAGGGGCACACAGTGCACTGATGAAATGTGACATGGGTGACCACAATCCTCTCAGGTGCATCACCAATGCACATCCTGTAGACATCCATCTCTGTGGGGAACAGCAGACTGGGTTGCATGTCAATGCCCACATGTCACACAATGCCTGTGTCACCATCGCCATTGATGATTGACACGTTGGTGAGCGCATTGAAGAGAAGGAGCAGATTCTCCAGCACAAAGGTGATGGGTTGTCCAGTGCTCAGATGCTTGGCCATCATCCAGTAGATTCTGGCATTGCAATCAATGACATATTCACCACCTCCAATGCCAGGCAGTGTGAAGCAATCATGGATGCCAAGTGTGTGAGGGCTATGTGTGTTGGAGCTGCATCAGGAACAACCACTACACACTCCAAACCTGCCATATGTGCCTGTGGGTGCTTATCCATGTCAGATATGATGTGGACAAGGGATGACTGCAGGTTGGGAAAAAGTTGAACTGGTGCTCATGTCTCCCTCTCACAATGGACAGCATGGCCCTGGATCACTCAAAGTGCATGCACCACAACTGCTTCTTTGGCACAAAGCCAATAAAAAGGTGGCTCAAGGGTGCATTACACCAGACTATGCTATGAGGCAGGGGGTAACTGGCTATTGCTGTGAGGAACTCACTTGGGAATCAAACCCAACCTTCTCCCTCAAGCCACCCAACAACCCCAGCAGGATTCAAACCTGCATAGGGAAACCCCACTGGATTAGCAATCCAGCACCTTAGTCCTCTCAGTCATGGTGTCTGAATTGTGAACACAACCAGTCCATGATCTCCACATTGTCACTGCCAATGAGTTCCTGTTTGAGTGAGGCAGTCATGATGCATTGGCTGCTGAAGACCCATTGTCTGGCGATCATGTCCTGATAACTGTGCTGGATGACATCCAGGTTGTTGTTGACAAAATGTCTCACCAAGTCCCACACGCCATATTCTGTGGATGAGGCAACTTGGAATTCTTCAAGGCATGCAACAGGGAAGTGTAGGATTGCTACTCCATTGCACTCAAGGCCATTGAAAGTGGCAACCCAGAACTGGCCAAGCATGTGGTGGTTTGCACCAAGTACATGACTGCTGATGGTGCAGTGGTGATGCATCATGTCGAAACAGCAGGTTGAACATGCAATGGCTGTGGATCAACATTGTGGTGATCTTGAATGGCCCAAGGTCCCACTCATGCCTGAGTGGCCAGCACATAATGCTTGGGCTTGATCTGTCACTTCACTCACTTCTGCATGTGCTCATCATGGGTGTACATGAACACCTTGAGCATCTCCAGCCTGCCACTGTGCATGATTGTGTAGATTGCGCTGGATGCCAACTGCAGCCCACTTTCTGACCAGTGCATGAGATCCATGGTGGGCTGCAAGAGCATGTGTGATGTGTAGGTGTGCATGAGTTCACATTAGTGTGTGCAGCAGCGCATGTGGTACCCATAGTCACACAGCATCACATACCATTCCTTCAACACCAACCTTATGTTGATCAGGTAGTCCAGCAGAAACACCAACACGTTGCACCATTTGCTCCATTGTTGGGATATTGCCATAGATGCCACCAGGATCAACCAAATGGGTCATGCCTGGGGGTGTTGTTTATTGCACATTGATACAATACTCCCAACGTTGATCCTCAGTGCCACCCTCTCCTGAAGCAAAAGAGGAGGAATACAAAGTCAAAGCTATTGTTGACCATCATGACCAGAAGACAGGTCACAAGTACAAGGTGCAATGGGTTGGCTCCACCACACATGATGACTTGTGGGTAAATGCTGACAATGTTCAAGCCAATTGACTTGTCCAAGACTACCTTGACAGCCATGGGCTGGGAGGCAGAACTCCAACCATTCTATCTTAGTTGGGGGGTATGTGGCAGAGCCCCTGCTCTGCCAGCTGCCAGAGTTTGCCTCCATCCTGCCATACGAAATCTGGAGGGAAATGGGATTTAAAGGGACTTCTTCTGACACAACTTGGATTAGGACCTCCCTGAGGCCCATCTACCTGAGACTCAGCCAGTCCATTTCCCAACACTCCTACAACAGTCTTACAACATCCCACACACTGTGCATAGAAAGTTGGGAGCAGATCAAAGGCATGTACAGAAACCAGCAAAAAAGGTGTGTCAAAACATAAAACATCAAAACAGAGATGATTTTTCAAAACAGACTTCTCACTGTTGGCCTTCAGAAAAAAGTACACCAGCCCTTTTCATTTTAATGTACCAACCACACCTACTCACCTTGCATACACAGAGATTCTAACTTGTGGTCATTTGAAATGAGAGGTCACAAATGACTGTGGAATTTTTGTTGTGCTAAAATCGTGTGAGATTTGACATTTTTGATTTACAGGGCAGTTTTGAAGATTTGGATCTGCATGTGTGATTTTGACATGCTAGACCAATGCTGATAAGTGATTTTGAGGGACTTGAGACGAAAAAGAGTTCATAAAAACTTGGAATGTGTGGAGTTAAAAGTGCTTTTATCAGTGTGTGATGGAGCTTTGTTGTGGTGGAATTTTATCTTCAGGAATAGTGCTCCATGTGAAGAATGAAGTCACCCTGCCATCAGCCATGGCCAACAACAAGGAACTGTTGAAGGCAGTAACTGCCCCATTGCATACATGCTATTATCAAAGCCCATTATGCTTTGAAACTGCAGGACATGCCACCTCCTCAGGAGGCCAAGAAGTAAGAGATGAAGGGCACTCTCCACACTGAGATGTGACAAACAGCCCCTCTTGAATTGCTTGTGTAAAGAATAAAAATTGACTTTTTGTCCAGTTAAATCCCAGCAGCCTTGATTTTTCCTTTTATGGTTTCTGTGTGCCAGCCGTTCAGGAAAGGACCGAAAAAAACGTGATAAAGTAAGTGTACCAAAACATGTACATGATAGAAATGGTATTTTAATCTGCCATTTCTCAAGATGCTCCCAATTTTGTCTTGCTATTATTAAATTAAAACCATTTGTGTGTTGTCAAAACTATTTTTATGAGCTTAAACTCACAAACAAAATCACTTTTCAAAATGACTGGACCTCTCATTTCA